GGATGATCTCCACCACTGAGTTCGAAGCTCATAACACGATGGGGTTGTCACCTCCTTGGTTTTGGATGCTGTATCTCAGTGAATACCACTGAAGGTCATAATAACAGGGGTGGATGCAATTGCCCTGGAAATCACTGGACACCTTGGGCTGTTTCTCATGGACAGATGAATGGATGGATGCCCAGCCAAGTCTTCTTGACCCTGAAACTGTACAATTGCTTTGTTGGAATCTGAATGTCAGCTTTTCTATTTGTCCTCATTAAATTCCATCTTGTTAGTTTTGACTTAACCCTCCAGCCAGGCCTGATAAGGATGAGAGTAGCACACTCCCATACACTTACCTCATGGAGCTACGTCACTCAGACTTCTGAACAACCCTACCAGCGGGCTGCTGTTAGCCCCATTTTAGAGGTGAGGAAATGGAAGCACAGAGAAGTTAAGTGACTTTCCCAAGCTGACCCAGTTATAATTGAGCTAGGATTAGAACCCAGGTAGTCTGGATCCAGACATTATGATCTTAACCACTCCCTCTGCTGCCTCTTTCTGCCTTCTGATGTCATATCCCTCCATCTTCCAGTTTCTGCAAACACGTTGAGCATGCCTCTAGGTCTTCATCCAAGTTACTGGTTAAAAAAACAAAAACAAAGGACGCCTGGGAGGCTCAGTGGTTAAGCGTCTGCCTTCGGCTCAGGTCATGATCCCAGGGTCCTGGGATCGAGCCCCGCATCGGGCTCCCTGCTCAGCGGGGAGCCTGCTTCTCCCTCTGCCCGCTCTGCCCGCCACTCAGCTATCCTTGACTGTGCTCTCTCTCTCTGACAAATAAATAAATAAAATCTTTAAAAAGTAAAAACAAAACAACTATGGACCAGGTAAGTCCACAGAGCTTGGTGGCACGCTTCTAAAGATCTCCTTTTGTGCTTGCCCTAGTTTATTTCCCCCTAATCTTTGATGGTGATGACTCCACCAGCTGCAAAGCCATGGAACTTGGATCCAGCTGTGGTTTTCCACCATGGTCTCAGGACAGCATTCATCAAACAGCCTCTGGAATCCCCACACAACCAGCATTTCAAGTCAGTCCCCACATACTTGCCCAGGGGCCCAAAGAACAAAGGGAACAAAGGTGGGGCTGTTGTAGCACTTGTTTGAGCCCATGTGGGCACCCAGTGGCCCTTCACAGCTCCCAGGTCTTGGCCCAGTGTCTAGCATACAGTAGGTGCTTAACAAACATTTTTTTTGATTATTTTTTTGAAGGAGGCCACCTTGTTTTTTATTGTGGTAAAGTATACATAACATAAAAGTTAACATTTTAACCGTTTTTCAATGTGCGATTCAGTGACATTGTGTTAAAAACATGCAGCCATCACCACTATTTCTAGAACGTTTTAATCCCAGCAAAAACTCTGTACCCGCTAGATGATAACTCTCCATTCCCTCTCTCCCAGCTCCTGGTAACCTCTATTTTACTTCCTGTTTCTGTGAATTTACCTATTCTAGATATTTCTTATAAGCAGAAACATACAATATTTGTCCTTTGGTGTCTGGCTTCTTTCACTTCACATAGTGTTTTCAAGGTTTGTCTCTGTCTTAACATGTGTCAGAATTTCCTTCCTTTTTTTTTTTTTTAAGATTTTATTTATTTGGGGCGCCTGGGTGGCTCAGTTGGTTAAGCGACTGCCTTCGGCTCAGGTCATGATCCTGGAGTCCTGGAATCGAGTCCCGCATCGGGCTCCCTGCTCAGCGGGAAGCCTGCTTCTCCCTCTGACCTTCTCCCCTCTCATGCTGTTTCTCTCTCTCTCGCTCTCTAATACATAAATAAATAAAATCTTTAAAAAAAAAAAAGATTTTATTTATTTGTCAGAGAGAGAGAGAGAGCACAAGCAGGGGGAGTGGCAGGCAGAGGGAGAGGGAAAAGCAGGCTCCCCACTGAGCAGGGAACCAGAGATGTGGGGCTCCATACCAGGACCCCGGGATCATGACCTGAGCCAAAGGCAGACGCTCAACCGACTGAGCCACCCAGGTGCCCCAGAATTTCCTTCCTTTTTAAGGATGGATAATATTGCCTTAGACACCACATTTTGTTTCTCTATTTATCTGTCAGTGGACACTTAAGCTGTTTCCACCTTTTGGCTACTGTGAATCATGCTGCTCTGTAGCTTGTTAATTGTTATTTCATAGTCTCTTTCTAATCAGGTTGCCCCAGCCCTTCCCATTCAGATGGCTCTTGCAGAGGCCCCCGTGACTTCATGTTGTTGAATCCAGTGGTCTCACTCGATCCATCAGGACCGTTTGACCTGGTTCATCTTCCTTTGGCTTATAGGACCCCCCATTCTCCTGCCGTCCCTCTACCTCTAGATGCTCCTTCTCAGTCTCCCTTCTTGTTTCTCCCCTTCCTCCTCCCCGACCTCTGAATGTGGGAGGCTCTCAGGGCTCCATTCTTGGCCCTCTGACACACGCACCCCCACTCCTGGGTGGCCTCATTACTCCTCCCGAATGTACACCTAGCCCAGACCTTTCTCACGTCTCTATCTGCCTACCTGATGTCTCCGCTTGGGTGACCAGTTGATACCTCAAACTCCACCTACCCGAAACCGAGCACTTGCTTTTCCTCCTCAGACACAGTCTTCCCCACGTCCGCACCTTAGTTCCTGGCAATTCTGTCCTTCCCATTGTTCAGACCCTCAAATTTTGCTTCACTCTTGACTTCTCTTTCTCTTATACCTCACACCCAATCCCCCAACTCATCTTATTGGGTTTACCTTCAAAATACATCTAGAATCTGCTTACTTCTCCCCAGCTCTGCAGCTACTACCCGGGTCCTGGAATTTGGCAGTAACCTCCTAACTAGTCTCTAGGCTCAGCCCTGACCCCTCCAGTCTATCCCCAACACAGCAGCCAAAGGGATCCCTTAAAAATACAAGTCACATCAGGACAGTTCTTTGCTCCAGATTTTGGGTGGTTCTCCATGTCACTAAGAGTCAATGCCCTAGCCCTTACAGAGCCGACAAGGCTCTACATCATGGGGCCCCCGCCATCTCGGTGACTCGTCTCTGCCTACACTCTCTGCCTGTTCCCTTTGCTCCTTGCTGTTCCAAGAACATGCCAGCTCAGAGCATTTGTGCTGGTGACTCCTGGTCCTAGGAAATCACCCCCCCATATATACATGACAAATTCCTTTACCCCTTTCTTGTCTTCACTCAAATCCACCTTCTTAAAGTCTTCTGGTAGCGTTCTATCTGAAGTTGCCATACCTGTCACTCTGTCCACCCTCCTTATCCCCATTATGCTGCCCTATTTCCCCCTGTAGTACTTGTCACTGTCTCTATTATAAATTTTACTTATTTCTTGTGTTTATAGTTTCTTTTCTACTCTCACCCCCATGAGAAATGATCCTGGGGGCCCCTGGGTGTCTCAGTCGGTTAAGCGTCTGCCTTCGGCTCAGGTCATGATCTCAGGGTCCTGAGATCGAACCCCACATTGGGCTCCCTGCTCAGCGGGGAGCCTGCTTCTCCCTCTCCCACTCTCCCTGCTCATGCTTGCACGTTCTCTCTAACACACACTCTCTCTCTGAAACAAATAAATAAAATCTTTTTTTTAAAAAAGAAATGATCCCGGAGGTCATGGATTTCCTTCTCTTTTGTTTACTGATATGATTCACCTGGAACAGTGCTTGGTACATGTAGGGCCTCAATAAAAATTTGTTGAAAGAAGGAATGAAGAAAGAAAGTGTGATAATTTGGGAAGTGGCCTGCAATCTAAAAAGGCGTTGGGGCCAAGAGAGGGTGGGCTTTGGCGTGGCTGGGTGTCACAGACATTAGTGCTGTTCGCTGTGTAGCCACGGTCCTCCTGCTCCTGGTAATTCTCCCCTTGTGGGCCTTTGGGACGTATCTGCTCCCCCCAGCAGTCCACATGGATCTCCTGGGCTGACTCCACTCCTCCCTCCCAGGGGAGCCACAGTGATTGTTCAGGGCCTATTTCCCTGGCTGGGCCAATGAGACTGAATTTTGAGACTTTCGCTTATATTCCTGGGATAGGGAAGGCTGCTTTCCTCAAAGGTTGACGTAAGCTCAGAGCTGCCTTATCCATTTTGCTACTTTGTCGGAAGATCCTGCCTGGAAATGGAGCCACCACAGAGAAATACTGGGCTACAGATTTGGAGAGAGACATTTGGGAGCCTAGATGCAGTGCGACCTGCAGCTGGATCTGCTCCCGGACTTTTCATTTACTTGAGCCTCTTTTCATGGACGCTGGTTTCTGTCCCTTGCAATCACCCACACCGTACTTGCCTAAGCTCATGAACTGAGAAGCGAGGAAGGGGCTGAGTAGGGCCTGCAGCGTGTAGGGGTGGGTGGCCCCAGGGGCAGTCTCAAGTGAGGAGCCCTGAGCTTTCAATTATTAGCGCTGAGTGGAGGGAAAAAGGGAACAGATTTGCCTCGGCCTGCACTAGAGGAGTCTCAGTCTGTCGGGGGAGACGGGCATGGACCCTACTGGGGCAACACAGACGGATCCTGTTCTGCCAGCAGCAAGCTAGGCTGAGAGGGATTGGGTGGGAAGCAGGAAGGCGGAGAGCTTCCCCATAGAGCTCACTCCTGATCTGCCATTTCCCTCCCGCCCCCGTGCACGTGAAATAGGCCAGCTCAAGTACACACTCGGGCGCTGCCACTTACTAGAGGTGTGTTCTCGGGTAGGGCACTAAACTTTCCCAGCTTCAGGGTCCTCACAGGCAAGATGGAAGGCATGCTGTCCACCTCATCGGGTTTCTGCGTGGATGAAATGACATAATGTGTGAAATGAGATAATGCCAAGAACTCAGTATGAACCTGGCTCCACGGAACACTCTTAATAAAAATCAGCTGCTGTGATTATTATCGGAGGTTTTTCCTGCCTGGCCCTGATCGTGCCTGGCGGGGCAGGTGCAGTTCTTATAGCCACCAGCAGGTGACGCCCTGACCCCAAAAGAGCTCATTCTCGGCTAGACCGCTTTTAGAAGGGCTCCGGAACGGATTGGGCAGGGCGGCCTGTCGATCTCGGCCAGTTAGACTCCTGCTTTCCCGGCTGCGGCGGGGAGAGGTATCTGCACTCCCCTCAGTTCCAAAGAAGAGGGGGCCTGGGTCTCCATGGGATAGTCAGTGGAGCCTCAGTTTTCCATCCGTATTTTGGAAGAGCGTGGCCTTCGGGGACAGCTGGGTCAAGTTGAGAAAATACTCAGGTTGGACCAGGTAAAGGACTGCCAGAAAGAGCGAGCGTCCCAGCACGGAGGCTGGTTAGAGAGCCTGCGGCTGGACTTCGGGGCACGGCCGGGCCTGGTGCTGAGGCAAGGGGATGACCCATACGACCTCGAGTCTCTTCCTTTCTTGGTAAGAGATTGGGAGGGGGGGCTGCCCGCCGCGGAGCGCCCAGGACCCGGCTTGGCCTGGTGACGCGGGACGCTCTGGTAATTCTGGATCCTGCCAGCAGAGGGAAGCAGAGAGCCTCCTGGGCTGCGCACGGCTCCGCTCCCAGCCCCGAGCTCGCCCTCCCGGGAACTTGACGCTTGAGGCGCCTCCCAGGCCAGGAGTCCGCGGCTCTTAGCTCGCCCTCCTCTCTCGGGCGGGGCTTCCTGAGGGGGGTGGGCGGGGGGAACGCTGGGTGAGGGGAGGGTCAGCTTCAAGCCGGACTTTGTGCATCCTCTAGCGGAGCTGCATCTTCCCTGGGCCTCAGTAACCAGGATGGGATCTGCTGGCCTAATGCTATAGGTAGTGCCCCGGCTTCCTGGGATAGGGTGGTGTTCTCGCCCCAGGGATAAGGATTTGGGCGGCAGATGGGGATCCTCCTTCTAACCCCATAACCCAGCCCTGGAGGGTCAGATGGACCTTGGGAAGCAGGACAGTGCTCACCCCATAGCACCCTAGCCAGTTCCCGGCATCCTCCTGGACAGGCTCCCAGAGGCCCACAAAGGCCTTCAGACAAAGTTCTGGGCCAGGCTTTGCCTGTGCCCTGGGCCCGCAGCCGACTGGCTCTAGGTACTCCAAGTCCCTGGCACTCCTTATGGGGTTTTGTCCACTAGCCCTGGGCCAGTGTTGTCAGGGCCCTGTTTGCTGGGGGGTGGGGGTAGGACAGGCAACTCTCAGAGGTTGAGCAGTCTCCCTTCTCCTTTTCCTCCTGCCCCTGGCCTTGCTGTCCTCCCCGAGACCTTCCTGCATCTCAGGCCTGCTCAGCTGTGTGGCCTTTCCCATCGTGTCCTTCTCTTGGCTGCAAGCCCAAATCTTTACCATCCTTAGGTCCTGCTTATATTCTCCCACTCATTTCTTCATTCATCCATTTGTTCAGCAAGTATGTATTGAGCTCCTACAATGCTCCAGGCCCTTGCTAGATGCTGGGGACCCAGCAGTAAAAAGACCCAGTTCTTGTCCTCTTTGGAGTTCCCAGTCCAGGGAGGTAGTAGGTAGGAGACTAGTAAAACTCATACTTAAAATTTGATCTCATTTTGTGATAACTGGGGTGAAGCAGAGAAGTTGCCTGTTCCCGGCAGCTCTACCTACCTATAGATGGATAGAAGAGGGGCTCTTTCCTCTGGGAAATCATCTGATAGGCTGTGAGCTGTAGAAGGAGGGACTTTGTCTGGGCCCTGCCCACCCTCCTCCCATGGCCTGGCACAGGGCATACAGTAGTTGCTCAGTAAATGTTTGTTGAACAAATGGATTAACCATCATCCTCATGGCCACAGGATGGCCAGTGAGAATGGCTTTTCCTCCCCACACTCCCACTCAGCTAACAGAGGAGTCATGGGTGATGCGGGGGATTATACAGAGAAGACCCCGAGGTCCCAGGGATTCCATCCTAGGCCTCTGTGGCTTCCTGCCTGCTCCTCACCACACAGCTTCCCTACCTTGGGCTCTGTCAGAGTCCTATGGCTCATGCATGGATTTGTCCATGATCTCTCATCCATCCATTCTTTGGCTTTATCACCCTTTGAGTGCCTACTGTATGCTGGCCCTGGGCTCTGGAGGAAGTGGGGATCCAGAGAAGAGTGGGAAGGGTCCTTGCCCTCATGGACTATCCAGACAGGAATGGCAGAGCGTGATGTGTGCTGTGAAGGGGGAAGGTGGTGTGTGCTGGGACCGGGTGTGCCCAGTCTGGGGGCACATCCTCAGGGAGGCCTCCTCTGGCCACCTGGCTGAAGGCGCTCCCACTCTTCTAACTAGGGGCCGTCACATCCCCGTTTTTGTTTTCAGAGTACACTTTAGTATCTGTAGTTATTTCCTTTCTTTATCTGCTGGTGTGTTCATTATCTGAGCACTTTACCGAGTGCCTGCTATGGGCCAGGCAATGTTCTAGGCCCTGGGTGTACAGAAGTGAAAGAACAAATTTCCAGCTCTCCTGGAGCTTATGGTCTAGTGATGATAGGGGTGGTAGGAAGACAGACAATAACCAGCATAAGCAAGTAGGCATGTAGGATATAAAGATGTCTTCTGGAGGAAAAGCAAGCCTGCCAAGGGGAGACTCGTATTTTAGGCAGAGAGCTGAAGGGGGTGAGGGCTAAGCCATGCAGCCACCTGGGGGAGGACTTTCAGGCAGAGGGCATAGTGAGTGCAAAGGCCCTGAGGTGGGAATGTGCCTGATGTGTTAGAGGATCAGTGAGGAGGCCCCTGTGGCTGGAGAGGAGGGAGGTCAGACGGGTGGCGGGGCCCACATCATGTAGGAACTTATAGCCATTGTAAGGCTTTGCTTTAACTCTCAGTGACATGAGAGTCTTTTGAAGATTTTGAGCAGAGGAGTGACATGATCTGGCTGACACTGAACAGGATCTCTTTGGCTGCCGTGTTGGGAATGTCGGTAGCGGGGCTGGGGGCAAGCAGGGGGACCAGTGAGGGGGCGATGGCGGCTGCAGCCAGGTGGTAGCAGTGGAACTGATGGGCAGTGGCCAATTGGAGACCTGTTTTGAAAGTAGATCCCATAGGGTGTGTTGAGGGCTAGCATGTGGGGTGTGGGAGGCAAGGACGGCGCCTGAGTTTTAGCCTGAGCTGATGGAAGGAAGGTGGTGGCATCTGCAAAGAGGTCACTTTTGGTTGGGATGAACTGGAGCTGCTCTTTGCATATCCTTGTGGAGACCTTAGGTCAGCTGTTGGGTATGACCTGAGAGGGACGAGGTTCAGGCTGGAGAGTCACACGGGAGGATCCTTGGGGTTTAGATGGGCTTTGAGGCCAGATGGGATCACCATGGGAGAGGGAGCTGGAAAAGAAGACAGAGGACTGACACCTGGGGCCTTCGGTACTTGTTGGCCAGGGAGTGGAGGAAGAATCAGCAAAGGAGGGTGAAAAGGTACAGCCAGGGATATAGGAGGGCAGTAGGAGTCCTGGAAGTCAGCGGGAGGAACCGTTTCGAGGAGGAAGGCTGATCAAGTGTGGCAGATGCTGGCAATAAGTTAAGATGAGGTGTGAGAATTGACTTTTGGTTTTGACATCACAGTGGTCCCTAAGGACCAGGCCCCAGTAAGTCTATCTAATCCCTTTGTATAAAAAGGAGAAAGAGCCGGCTCCTCTAGGTGGACCCAGTGTACGAGCATGCAGAAGGGAGATACCTTGGTATAAAGGAAAAGGTGTCTCTCCCCAGCCCGATGTCGCCTTGTTCCAGGTACAGCATGGTGAGGGGACAGCAAGCTGAATTTTAGCTCCTTCTCCACCCCTTGTGTACCCCAGGTGCCTTTGTGCAGTGCCCAACCTGTATATCTGTACTCATTAGCTGTGTTGGTGACCTTGATGAGCAGTGTCAGTGGAAGAAGTGTGGGTGAAGGGATGAGAGTCAGATGGGAGTGAGTTCAAGAGAGAATGGGAGAGAAATTGGAGAGCATGGACAACTTCTTCAAGGAGCTTTGCTGTGATGGGGGAAAAGAAATGGCATAATAGCTGGAGGGGGGCTGGAGGGTTGAGAGGAACTAGCGAGAGAAAGTGAATGAAGAGAAGTCATCCTAGGCAGGGGACCAGCATAAGCAAAGTAAGGTTATTAGAGATGGTCAGGGTGTATGAGGGTGGGTGGGGTCCTAGGGCATCACATTTGAGGTGTGAGGTGTTGGGAGAGGGACAGGTGGGCTGGGGCCTTTATCTTGGGGGTGAAGGGGCAAGGGCAGGGTTGGTGCATGGCTGGGCACACAGTAGGTGCTCACTGAGTACTCCAGAATTGGCCTGGGGAATCCCTACACAGCCTCTCATCTCCTGGCCTCAGTCCACCAGGTGGAAGATGGGAGCATTGGGTGTTGCAGATGCTCTCTGGGCCAAGCCTCCTCTGGATCCATATGCTTTCCTCCAGGTGGTGGGTCTCAGGTCCTGGCCTCTTCTCCTCCCGGGATGCCCCACTCTGCTCAGGCTGAGGAAGAGGAGGAGGCCCTGCCTGGGTCAGGCGGGGCAGGAGGTCAGGTAGAGGTCTCACTGTAGCAGGGGCTGTGCTGGGCTAAGTGGGCTGGGAACTGGGCCCCATGCCCCTGTCCAGCCTCCAGCACCCGCCTTCCTGAAACTCACCTTCAGGTGGTGGGGAAAGGTGGGGGAGGAGGAGGGGGGGAGAAGCTGCTGATTTTCTTTTCCCCTGGAGGGATGCTGAGGAATGTAGTGCATTTTGGCTGCTGGGTGGGGAGATGCCGACCCTGTACTCTTTCAGGAGGCAAAAGTAGCTACACGGAATAAGAACCGTAACTCTGTCTCCTGTGTCCAGTGCACCACAGCACTCTCTCACAGGGGCCTTCCGTGGGCTTGTGACGGCCCTTCGAGCCCTTTGGGCTAGTTGCACTTCGCACGGGGCAGTGAGTTTCAGGGAGGGGATCTGGCTGCCATGGTCGCACAGCCAGGAAGCAGCAGGGTTAGATGAGAGCCCAGGCCTCTGGCCCTGGCCAGCCCATGCCCAGTGCAACAGGCTCCCAGAGCTGCCAACGATGGGGAGCAGACCCAGGCCAGGGACTAGGTTCTGTGTGCCAGATGAAGCAGGGAGACGGCTGTATCTCCCTCCCTGCCTCTATTCTTTCCTCCTGTGTATAGTTATCGCATTAGGTACTGACCACACATGGTGAACAAGAAAGACCTTGCCTTCAGGGGGCTCACAGTCCATCTAGGTGGACAGAGAGTGAATGATCCATCCCATGAGTAAGTCACTCATTACGGTTGGAATAACCACAGCCTGTTGAGTGCATCTGGGGGTCAGGTCTTGGGTGGGTGGGCACTGAGCATAACAGCTCCTTTCATCCCACCCCAGGCCCACAAGAGAGGGGTTATTACCATCCTTACTGGGTAGTTGAGGAAGTGGAGGCTCAGAAAGGTTGTCTGGCTGTGACTTGAGGTCATGGTTCCTGAGCATGGGGAATATGGAAGCAAAGCCTTGTCACCTCTCCTT